CTCCAGTCAGACTGGAATAGAGCCCACCATAAGGGTCTCATTTTAACTTAATCATCTCCTAAAAGGCCCTATCCTCAAATATAGACTTTCTGAGTTATTACGGGTTGTGGCTTCATGAATTTTAGGGGGACAGAATTCAATACATAACACATTTCAAACAACAAACTATAAGTGTAATTGTACAATGATAGTTGTTTAGTTGCAAAGTGGAGTCCAATTCTTTACAACCCCATGGACTGCGGCATGCCAGGCTTCCCTGTCCTTCACTATTTCCCAGGGTTTGCTCAAATTTATGTCCATTGAGTCGGTGATGCTATCTAACCATCTCATCCTCTGCCACCCCCTTCTCCTTTTGCCTTCAATCTTTTCCAGTATCAGGGTCTTTTCCAGTGAGTTGGCTCTTTGCACCAGGTGGCCAAAGTACTGGAGCTTCAGCTTCAGCTACCATATTCAAATATAGTAGGGAACCATGTGAAGGTATAATTCAGTCTGGCAGGAAATATGAACAACTCCTGTACAGAGGAAGCATCATCTGGACCCAACTGCAGCTCCAGAGTACCTATAAAACATCACCTTGGTTGTCATAAAAAATATTTTAGGTCTTACAAGATGGGCATAAAAGAGCATCAGGTGATAAGACAGACTTAAATAGAGACAAAAAGAGGAATGGATTCGTTACAAAGGTAAATACCAACTTCTAACAGTTGAACTGGGACTATGGGTTCAAATACAACAAAACTTGGAGGTCAGGTGAAGTTCCTGACTGGTTAATGGAATAGTCTACTCCTTGCTCTCATTCCTCAAGGCTTCAGGATTTTAACGTATGGAGGAGGGAATCTTAATAGGGGGAGAATGTAAGTTCTTGATTAACCCCTACTTTTCCATCCAGAAATCATTCTTTCTCCACCTACTTCTAGGTAAGCTTTTCTCTAAGTCAGATTTTAAACTTGAATTCCTTATCCATTTAAAATATTCCTCTCAAAATAAAATAAAATAAAATATTCCTCTCTTGGGTGTGGAGAAAATGGAACCCTCCTACACTGTTGGTGGGAATGTTAACTGGTACAGCCATAATGGAAAACAGTACGGAGGTTCCTCAAAAAACTAAAAATAGAGTTGCCATATGATCTAGCAATCCCACTCTTGGGCATATATCTGGACAAAACTATAATTTAAAAAGCTATATGTGCTATTTACAATAGCCAGGACATGGAAGCAACCTAAATGACTTCCATAGATGAATGGATAAAGATGTCGTACGTATATACAAAGGAATATTATTCAGCTATTAAAAAGAATGAAATAATGCCATTTGGAGCAACATGGATAGACTTACAGATTGTCATTTACTAAGTGAAGTAAGTCAGAAAGAGAAAGACAAATACCATGATATCACTTATATGTGGAATCCAATGACACAAGTGAACTTATTTACAAAACAGAAACAGGCTCACAGACATAGAAAGCAAACTTACGGTTACCAAAGTGAAAAGGGGGTGGGGGAGGGATAAATTAGGAGTTGGGGATTAGAAGATATAAACCATTATATATAAAATAGACAAACAAAAATGTCCTACAGTATAGCACAGGGACCTGTTAGGTTCAATATCCTGCAATACATCATAATGGAAAAGAATACAAAAAAGAATATATTTGTGTGTGTGTATGTATAAAGCTGTATCACTTTGCTGTAGGCCAGAAATTAATACAACATTGGAAATGAACCATACAATTTAAAAACTAAAATAGAGAATTTCCTGGCAGTTCAGGAGCTAGGACTCTGCACTTTCACTGCCAAGGGCCTGGGTTCAACCCCAGATGGGGAACTAAGATCCTACAAGCCACACGGTATGGCTTAAATAAGATACATATAAAATACTCCTCTCTTGAAGTACTCTATATCCCTGAGTAAAGAGGAAGCGCAATGGAGCTGCACTGACCCAGAGGCACAGTGATAAGCGACCAAGTCTCTTGGCGCCTTCCCTTTCCAGTGCCTGGAAGTGACCAGTTTCCTTCCTACAGGGGTTGCCAGAGGCCAAAGGGACCAATGCCAGGCTTCTGGGAGGTGGCTCCAAGAAGGAGGCCAAGAATGTGAGTGCAAAAGTCAGTAATATAATATTGACAAGAGTGCACCATCGATATCCCCACTTGCACTCCTGAATCCCTCTGAGAGCAGAACAGATATTACCAGAGCTGCCCTCACCCCCTGCTCTCTCCCGAGCCCACTACTCATGTCTTCGTGAGTCTCATGTAAGAGCCAGACTCCTCCAGGGTCCAGGGTCCAGGCTGAAGGTCTGGCTGGCCCCCTCTCCCTTACCCTTTTCCCCAACAGCCCAGGGCTGCCTTCCGAGACCTTCCTGGACCCCATTCTCAGCCTTATTTTACTCACAGGCAAGACTGAAACAGAGAGGAAAAATGGCTTAGTTTGAAGTAAAGCAGCCACTAAAAGGCAGACACCTAGGTCTTTTTTTAATATTTATTTTTTATTTATTTATTTGGCTGCATCAGGTCTTAGTTGCAGCACACAGGATCTTCATTGTGTCATGTGGGAACTTTCATTTTGGCAAATGGACTTTCTAGTTGTGGCACAAGGGCTCCAGAGCAGGCGGGCTTCAGTAGCTGCAGCATGGGTTGAGTTGCTCTGCAACATGTGGGGGTCTTAGTTCCCCAAGCAGGGATCAGACTGAGTCCCCTGCCTTGCAAGGAGGATTCTTATCCACTGGACCACAAGGGAAGTCCCAAACTATACACATAAGTTTTATGGATTTCTATAGATATATGGATTTATGGATATTTCTATAGTGTAATAAGACTGGTTAAAGGCACAGAGCAAAATGGGCTTCCCCGGTGGCTCCAGAAGTAGAGCCTGCCTGCCAATGCAGGAGATAAGAGATGTGGGTTTGATCCCTGGTTCAGGAAGATCCCCTGGAGGAGGGCATGGCAACCCACTCCAGTATTCTTGCCTGGAGAATCCCATGGACAGGGAAGCCTGGCAGGGTTGCAAAGAACAATATGTATAGTACAAGCTCATTTTTTTTTAAGTCAACTATTATGTTTACATACAAAAAGGTATGGAGAACAAACTATTCTGTATAAAATAAATAAGCTTTTATTTTAATTTTTCCACTAGATGAGTCTTACTTTTAACATTTTAAAAGCTCTCATTAAAATTAAATTCTAAAAATGTTAACAGCAGTCTCTCCCTTTTCTTTCAGCCTAGACACCAAAGACACCATAGGAAGCCAACCAAGCCCTCCAAAGCCTGACAGCAATTTCTCAGACAATGTCAGCTGGCAAGCTTTGCTCTGCCTTTATAGGCGCTCTGAGGCCCCACCCTCCCAATGAAACATTCTCAGTCTACAAGGCCGTGAGCACACCTAGAAGATGCTCTTCTTCTACCTCAGGCTCCCCATCACAGTCCCTAGTCCCTAAACCATTCTAGTATTCTCAAAAAAAAAAAACCAAAAAAACAAAACATTATCGCCAGAATTACTGTGCCCTCTAAGGCCTTCTCCTAACAGTCTTTTCCTGTGCCCTCTACAGACCCAGGCTTAAGTTTACTTACCTGAAAGAAACCAGGAAAGCCAAGTTTCCTAGCTGGCACCTCCTGACCTTAAATAGAACCAGACAAGTAGCCAATTAATATATTTAAATATAATTGACACAGTGGTAAAGAATCTGCCTACCACTGCAGGAGACACAAGAGATGTGGGTTTGACCCCTGAGTCAGGAAGATCCCCTGGAGGAGGAAATGGCAACACCGCTCCAGTATTCTTGCCTAGAAAATTCCAAGGACAGAGGAGTCTGGAGGGTTACAATCCTTGGGGTCACAAAGAGTCAGACACGACTGAGAACACACACAATAGATCAGAATTATTTCTTTCAAAGAGGCCTGGAAATTCACATTCAAGCCAGTGAACCCATTTTACTCTGTAAATTCCAAACTTAATCCAGATTCTACACACACCTTTCTCCAAAATCATCCTCAATCTCTCTCCACTATCCAATCTTTTATTTCTTTACTCATTTGAGAAGCCTTTCTGAGGTAAAAGCTAGGTAAAGCAAAGAAAGAAGTTAAAGTAATAAGTAAGTAATAAGTAAAGTAATAAGTAAGACATTGTCTCAGCAAAGATAATGTAGATTTAAAAAAAAAACAAACTTGTCACAGTTTCCTAGCACATAAAATGCCTCCAGTACTTATGAGTATCATCATCATCATTAATGGTCAAGTGACCCTGTAAGTTTCCAATCTACTACAGAAGACGTATGTACAAAAGTGGAGTTGAAGGCTAGAGAGATGGTGTGGAAAATCTCAAATGCCACTGTAAAGGGCTTCAAGTGAAAAAATGAGAAGGCATATTTTTTTGTAACATGGGGATAAAATTGTCAGAATGAAAACATAAGGAAATAAAAATGGATTTGGAAGAACGAGTAAAGAGGAAAACATTAAAACAGTGTAGATCCAGAGGTTAGGACTTGGCACTTTCACTGCTGGGATCCAGGTTCAATCCCCAGCCAGGCAACAAAGATCCTGCAAACCACTGTGGCCAAAAAGAAAAAAAAAGTGTTGATTCTGCTTCCCCCTCTGACCATTTCCTCAAATATCAGAGGGGGAGAAAAGAAACACTCAGCCAGAGGCTGGCTTCTGTCATTCAGATGAAAGAGAAGACTAAATTGGGATGCTGGTGTTATGAGAAGAAGCATTTTAATGGATTGGTGAGTTGGGTGGGGTCCTATTTATGACACAACAGGGCAGACCCCTGCTGTCTGATAGGACAGTGTGCTGGGCACACAGCCTCCTCCTGTTCCCAGGCCCGCCTCTCAAAAGCAGGAGGCACAGAAGCACGTTACTAGGCTAAGGAATAGAGGGGCCACTTGCCAACTGCCTTAAAAAGGAAGAGCAGAGATGGCAGGATGAAGGAGTGGAACCCAAAGGCAGGTGCCATCATGAGCAGTCGGTGAAGGAGGCCCAGATCTGTGACAAAGGAAAGCCCAGAAGGATGAAGCCTGGGAGATCAACAGTTCCCTTCAGGGAACTCACAACAGTGGAGCCAGGCTCTAAGTTAGTTTCTAGGCCTGACTGGGAACCTGAGCCACCCCAGATACCTATCACTCAGCCAGAGTCTGAGCCAGAAAAGACACCCACAGCTCAGCCAGCATCTAAGGCTCAGCAGGCACCCGATACACCACAGAAGCTCACTGCACAGCAAAGACCCCTTGCCCAACAGGAAACTGAAGCCCAGCAGGGATGTCCAGCACAACAAAAATCCGCTCCGTACCAGGAATTTCGTGCCCCACAGGAGTCTGCCCCACAGCCATCACCTCCCATCCAAAGGGTGGCCTTTAGTAAACAGGAAGCTGCCTCACAGCACAGACTAGGGCCAGGAGAAGAATCTAGAACTCAACAGGACCCAGAACTGAGAGAGGGATCCAGAGCCCAGCAGCAACCTGAACCCCAAAATGAACCACCTGCCCAGACTGAACTGATGTCCCAAGAGAGACGGCAACAGTCAGACCTTGCAACTCAGGGAGTCAAATACAGAGAGGAATCTTGGGCTGAGTGGCAATTTCTATCAAAACCAAATGAACCATCCGAACAGCCATCGACCTCAGAATCGAAGACATCTCTTGAGTGGGTCACAGATTCAGGCACAAAACCAGATGTGGGGTTCACATTAGACATTGATTCACCAGCCACTCTGGGTAGGATGGCGGCCCCTGGAGTGAAGATGGCCTTCAAAGAGCAACCTGGTTACGAAATGATGTCAGGATTCGGTAGGATGTCAACACCAAGGAGGAAAATCAGCAGCCAGAATCCCAGACAATACCAGTACACAGGTGAGCTTGAAGGAAGGGAGAGGGGGAGAGGCTCCTAGGGATGGTCATTCATTCAGTCAAGAACTAAGAACTGCCAGAACGTCAGGTGAGCTCAGGTGACCCCCCAGCAGTCCAGACACAGAGCCAGAGCCCCCTTTGATGGAGGAGGAAGCTGAGGCCTGGAGAAGAGAGGGAGCCTGTAGGGGGCTGGCAGTACCAGGATCCCCAGCCAGCCTCGGATTCCTTGCCCTGTTCCAGGCCATCTCCCTGCAGAGACCTGTGGGAATCAAACAGAAACTAAGAAAGGCTGTGGGAGAGGGCGAGTGCTCATCCCCTGGGTCCAGAACTCTGAGCACCACTCGAGGCAAGCACCTCGCTGACCAGGGACACTTACCCTGGGCGGGTTGGACGCAGGCAAGGCCGGACATCCGGCGGGGACGGCCCTTCAGCTCTCAGGGGTGTCCAGTAAGCTGGAAGACACTCATCCCCGGACAGTCCCGGTCCCACCAGGCCCATGGCCTCGTAGGGTGTGATCTCAGGAAGCGGGAGGCTCAGGAGAGGCGCTTGGGCTCCGCCAAATCCCAGGCCAGGTCTGGGCTGCGCGCAGGGAGGGAGACTCAGGGGGCGGTGTGGGCGGGTCGTGGGCATGAGACTCAGCTGGAGACAGCACCCTGCCCCTTCTCCTCCTCCTCCAAAGCTAACGATGGTGGGTGCCCCCGGGGAGCAGACTCGGCCCTGAACTCCTTCTCTGGGCTCAGAAGCCCTGCTCTGCACGAGAACGGCCGCAAGTTCTCTGCAGGGAACATGTGGTGACACAGCCAGAGGGGGAGAAAACAATGCAGCCCCAATCCAGGAGCTGAAGGCGTTATGAAGCCGTTAGTCCGAAGGCTGGTAAATGGCGGGTCTCAGCCCAGGAGCCTGTATCCCCTGGAAGCACTGAGTCGTTTCTCTCAGGACTGAGGAGAAGAGTGTCATGGTGTCTCTCAGTGCCAGGGCTCATCGTGTGTTTCGGAAGGGTGGGGAGGAGAGATGGGATGGTATTTCTGGTGTTTCTCTGGGCCTCGAGAATCCAATCACAAGGGATGCCCTCATCACAGCTCTGCCACAAACAAAGCCTCTCCACTCCCTCCCCGCAACCCGCGCCGGAGTGTGTGCGCATGCGCGAGCCTCGAGTTTCCTCTGTTTCCCGCCTTTTCCCAGGACAGCGCGGTACCCGCGATCTCCTCTCCACCCTGCGGGCTTGGAGCTAGTGCGCAGGCGCCGAGCACCCTATATATATATATATATATATATATATATATATATATATATATATATATATATATATACATATACATACACACACACCACACACCCCTACGCACACACACACACCCCCCTACCCCCACCCCCCGCCGCCCCCTGGCCTTCCATTCTCGCAGGGAAGAACAGGACAGGGAGAAGAAGAACCCCAAGAAACGGAGCAATAGGAGAACTAGAAGACAGAGGGCGGGGCGGGCGGGGGAGGGAAAGGCGGGGCTTCCTCCTCCGAAGGCTCCCAGGCAGAGTCACGCCTCCTGCGCTGCAGCCCCGCCTTGGCTTTGAATTGCCTGAGGATCTGGCCGGCTCCCCGCCCTCAGGCGGAGGCGAAGTGGCATCCTGCTCACTTCTAAGCGGGCAGGCACAGTGCGTTCTAGACGATCCCTACGTGGGCAGGTGAGTGGGAAGACGAGGGTGACAGCCAACACGTGACTACATCGGGGCTTCCTTGCTGGAGTGACGATTAGGGACTCCCCGCTAGTTCTGCAGGAATACGCTTTTAGCCGCCTCCAGGGGTGCATTTTTCTTGGTCGCGGGCCCTTTAAAGCACGCGAAGGGGCGGGGCCAGACCGTAGGCCTTAGTGGAGAGGGGCGGGACTCGAGTGTCGAGGGCGGCCCACCTCGCTCAGGGGGCGGGACCCAGAGAGGAGCAAGTCCGGGATTGGGTTGTGTGGAGGCTCGGCGGTGGTGCGTGTGAGGATCGGCCCTCGGGGCGGAGACTGGCGGGTGGAATTGGCTCAGGCGGGTGTGGAATTGGCCGCGGGAACGGGACCGCGGAAAATTGATGGAATCGGCCTGGGAAACGAGGCCCTGGGTGGCCTCTGAGGCTCCGGCTTCGAAGAGGGTTCAAGAGGGGTCCAAAAGTCAAAGGCGCCGGTGGTGGCGAAAAGCCAGAGCCAAAGGTGAGTGGGCAGGGGCCGGCAGCAGCACGGAAGGAACCTTAGACATCCTGCGGGAAACTGGTGGCCGAGTGGACTGACCTACTGCCACGAGAAGTGGGGGACGCTCGTGGACTGGCTCATTGCCGCCCTGCAGGGCGGGGGTGTGGAGATAATCCATTGTGAGAAGCGGGTGACGTGAGAGGGAGGTATCATCTCCAGCAGAGACTCTCGGACGCCCCAGTACCGTGTTAGGGGGAAAAGTTCAGAATGTTAGTGTCCCGAACTAGCGTTCCCACTCTGACTCCGTTCTCGCTCTGTGGCTGTGGCAGCTCTTGCCTTGTGATTCCATTGTGGGAAATGGTTCAAGCCCTGGTTTTCAGGTCTCTGACACTCTTAAGACAGTAATAGGGGAGAGATTTAGAAGTTGTTGCCCAAAGAGGAAGTTTTGGAGTGAAAGGTAGGAGGAAGTGGTGCCCCACAGTGGGGCATACTTGGAGGAGGGGGTGCAGTACTGCTCCCAACAGCCTTGTCCCACCATCTTTCATTCAATCTGCTCATTCATTTGTTGTCAGTCCACCATCCTCAGGCTGGCTGCCCTAGTATCTAACTTCTTGACTCCTACTCCGAGGACTAAGAGGCCCTGGGTTGGCTTGGGACAGCCTGACCTTCACTTGGGAGAAAGGAGAGCTGCCTCCAGGGTTCCCTATGGTGTCACATTATTTACAAGTCTCGGCAGGCTGGAGAGACCGACAGACAAGACATGCTGCCACCACATGAAGTCCTTGCTGGATTAGGATTGTCAGCCCAAGTGAAGACCTATGGGAATCTCCTCTGCAGGAAAGAAGCTGACTTAGCCCTGACTTAGTCCAGAGACCCGAGACTCATCGCCCTCCCTGCCATAGACATCATTAGTAGCCAAGGGTAGAAGTGGAGCTGGCTCCAGACGCACACAGGAAGGCTCAGAGCTCACACTGGGGCCTGAGGGCATTCCTTGTCACTGCAGGGCACAGCTTCATAGACAGGACAGAGTGCCCAGAGGCAAGACAGTGATAGGGAAATGGGCCTTGGAGACTTGGTGCCTCAGCTGTGAGGGGGTGGTACACTGGACAGAGGCTCCCTCCCTCCCTGCCTCAACTTTCTGAGCTATAAAATGGGCATAATGACAGGAGTCACCCCAGCTAGACTGTGAGTTCCCTGAGAGCGGGCTATGTCAGTCCTGTTTACCCCACAATTGCAGAGCCTGGTATGCCAGACACATGGACACTCAAATGTTCACTTAATAAGTGAAGGCATGCATGAACTGTAACATGGGGATAATTATCATGCTGCCCTTTAGGGAGTCATGAGGAGTTAGAATCCTCTTGCATAGGGCCTCCCGCACAGGGCTGAGCCAGTCCTCCCCACAAACCCACAGGCCCACCTACTCACAAAGGCTCATTCCTCCAGGCCCCTGGATTTCCCTGTCATTTCCTGAGGCCCTGCCCTGGTGCAGGCCTCCCCTGAGTGAATCAGACCCCAAGGGCATCCAGGTGGGCTGGAGCACTCCTACTCATCCTTTGGATCTTGCCAGTAACAGATGACACTAATGTCATGATCACCCCATTTTTCAGATGACAACACTGAGACTCTGAGGGAGTGAGGGCACCTGGTCTTCCTCACCTGGCCAGTAAAGGCAAGGAGATGGCCACCCCTAGGCTCCTAAGGACAGTGAGTGTGTACACTCAAAACTGCTCTGTGCCTCAACCTTGATTCTGGACCCAAAAGGCTCCAGGCACACATTTTTGTTCAGCAAAGACAGTCAATGAACCCTTCCCTGTGCCAGGCCTGGGTCCTCAGTGTAGAGGATAAGACACCATCTGAGGCGGGGACACAGACATTAATAAATAACCCTACAAATCAGATAGAATTATCTGATTATCCAATTATCTCAGTTTCCCCATCTGCCAAACTGATGAAGAGAGAACATATAAGAGGGAGGCTCCCCAAGCACGTGACACTGGACTCAAAGATGAGCAAGTGTGGACTGCTGGGCAGGAGGGACACAGGGTGGCGAGGACAGCACAGGCAGAACCCTGAGGCCCAAGGAAGAGGCAGCTCACAGCACGAAGGGAGCTCAGCAAGGGAAGGGCCAGGCACCCAGAGGGCCCACGTGGTACGTGGTTTGGGATGCCGTGTCCAGGATTTGGGGCTTTATTCTGAGAGCAAGGGTGGGGTGTTCAAAGGTTGGGAGTGAGTAACCAGATTTAAGTTTTAGAAAGACCTTCTGGCCACTCTGTGGGAAAGGCATGGAGGGGGCAAAAGCAGAGATACAGAAAGAGTTGTAACAGTCACCTAGAGAAGTGGGCAGTGGAGGTAGGAGAAAGGCCACGTTCCAGGGATTTCTAGGCAAGACAGGGGCAACAGGACTTCCTGATGGGTTAGACAAGACTGGGAGATGCCCATGATGATGCCCTGGGTTCCAACTGGAGCAAATGGGATGAGAGGGGTACCATACACACACACCCCCAAGATACACATCCATACACATACAAAAAACATGCCCGCACAATCTCACAACACCCCCAAGATACATGTCCATACACATACAGACAAACAACATGCCCGCACAATCATACACACACACACCCAAGATACACATCCATACACATACAGACAACATGCCTGCACAATCTCACACACCCCCAAGATACACGTCCATACACATACAGACAACATGCCTGCACAATCTCACACACACCAAGATACACATCCATACACATACAGACAAACAACATGCCCACACAATCACACACACATACCCCCAAGATACACATCCATACACATACAGACAACATGCCCGCACAATCTCACACACATCCCCAAGATACACGTCCATACACATACATACAAACAACGTGCCTGCACAACCTCACAGGCCAAGAAGAACAGAGACACAGAGCCTTCAGGGACTGAGGATACAGATATGAAACCATTTGGTGTCATTTCAGACACTGAACAGCTCCAGTACCACATTCTTTTAGGTCTCAGTGTAGAAAAGAACTCAGCCAGAGGCAAAGTGGTAGATAAGAAGTGATGTACTGGAATAGAATGCTTGTGAGGTTTACAAGCGGGAGGGTGAGAAATGCTGCACCCTGAGAACTTACTGGGCTACAGTTTTGTAAGCAAAGAAAAAGTGGGGAGGGGGAGACTTCTTTGTCATTCTTGAGTCAACATCATGCTTCTATCATCAGCTCCCCCTCCAGGTTGGGCAGGAGAGTTTTCTTGTCTCTTCGGGCCAAGCTGGGTCCACTAATTACTGTTTTTTACATGTGCAGACAGCGTGTCCTAGGAATCATTAACTTACTGAGCTCGCTGGACAGGCTGTGGGTCTCATGCCACTGTCATTTTGCTATCTGGGGGCATATCTCGTGCTTCTGTTGCATGGTTTTGCTGTTAAGCAAGCCTGCCTGGTTTTATGGTTAAGCAAACCTGCTTTCTTGAGTAATTAACTTACAGGGGTCTCATATTTTTCTACTTACAATCCCCTAGTTAACTATTTAATCACCTACTTTGTCCCTTTATTCTGTCCCTATCAGATAGGCTGTGACACATGCATACAAACATGCCTGCAGACATCCTGAGAAACAGAAACACAGACACTGAGAAAAACTGTGCACTGAACGCTCTCACCCCCGCACACACAGACCAACGCTAAGCACGACAGGAACCTACACATGCATGTACATCAAGGTGAACCTCAAAGACATACTCATACTCGCCTGCCCAGAAGGCACAAAGCTGAGACACGAGAGAAGGAACAACACGGATACACAGAGAATCGCAGCAGAGGAGCTGCGCCATCTTTGCTGGCTCAGTGACCCTGGGCAGTATGTCACCTCTCTGTCTCTCAGTTCTCTCATCTGCCTAAAGGGGTCTTGATGGTCCCTGCCTCCTGAGCTATGGAGAAGCTGAAAGCATTTACCTGAGTTACCTTACATAAAACCCAGGAAGAGAGCAGTATCCAGCACACGGCTGTCATAGAGCAGCGTCTGCTCTGCCATTGCAGACACACTTGGAGCTCAGGCTGTAATCACGGCCCTCTGGCCTGCATTTGGCCCCAGGCCTCTCCCCTTCAGAAGGCCTTGCCCCTCCCAGGCCCCCGACCTGGGCCTTCCTCCATCTTCCCCCCACTTACTTCCCCACTGCCCTTCTCTTGCCTGCTCAGTCCCCAGGGACCAAAATCCAGGCCGGGTCCACTTGTCCTGTGACTCTTTAGGGCAAAGGGCTGGTGCCCAGGCAGTAGGACCCTTACCCTTCCCTCTGGCCCAGTCCTCACCCAAGGCCCTGGGGGCCTGCCTGCCCCTGCCCCAGTGCCCTCTGCATCAGATTCTTGGCATGACTCTGGCAACCTCAGCTCAATATCCTTTGCTCCCTGCTTCGCCCACACCAGTCCCCAGGGAGCCGCCTGGAACGGGGCAAAGGGCAGCGCCTGGGATCAGCCTCTTCCTCACTGCTGTGTGCAAGTTGCTTCTTCTGTCCAGGGCTCCTGTGCCCTCATCTTCAATCAGGAGCCCTGCCCCAGAGACAGGAAGTAAATGACAGCTGTTTTACGGAACAGGAAGGCACAGCCATGCAATAAATACCTCGCTAGCTCTGTGCAAGTGAACTAAACAAAGCCCTTGCCCACAGGGAGTCTATACTCTAGTGTCAGACAGAGAAAGCAAAGAGCACACGCAGTAAACTGGCCAGCACGTCAGGTGGAGAAGGACCGAATCTCAGTGAGGCCAGTGAGAACCACACAGCAAGCCACAAGCAGAAACGCTGCCGTGGGGTCCCATACAAAGACCATTTCCAGCCCCCTGGGCAGGATGGCCAAGTGCACTTTCCACGACGAAGAAATCCACCTAGCCAGTGGCTTAGGCCAGTCACAAAGCTGCGAGCTGTCTCCAGAGGCCTCTGTCTGTCCATCTGTTTGTTTCCCCTGGGGAGGGGTGGTCCTCTGGACTCCCACCCAGTCCTGCCTGCCTCCACTCTGACTCTTCCCTTTCCTTCCTTCTTCAAATCTTTGCTGAGCACCTGCTATGTGCCACCCCATGCCCCCAGGGGGATGCCATTCCAGGCAGAGGGCCAGAGGCGGACTCACCTACAGCCAAGCAAAGAACACCCTCATTTGCACAGGCCCCTTCCCAAGCCCTGTACCTAATTCAGCACTTGTGATTGTCTCTCCTTTTTCCTAAAGAACCTCACCTCCACTTGGAAAAGCTTCGAAGCTCCATGAAGCCTGGTTCTGCCCCTGGGGGAGACAAACAAAAAACATGTAAACAGATAAATGGAAAACTGCCAAGGTGGAAAATCCTAGGAAGAAGAAGAACTTAAAATATGATGACAGAAAGCAGTGGGAGGGGCGCATCTTAGATGGGAAGGCACCCTTAGGGACCACCGCCTGGAGGAGGGGGGAAGCTGAGGGCGAGGGTGATCTGGCCAGGCCAGGAGCACATGGAATAACACAGGTGAGGTGTCCCTGAGCTTCCATTGCTCTGTCTGTGAGGTGGAAGTGACAGTCACTGCAGGATGATGGCCTGGAAGGCCAGTGGCAGGTTGCAGGGTGCCCAGTATGGGAACACCACACAGTAGGACCTGTGGCGTGGGCCCCTGGCTGGGCTTGGCCCTGCCCTTGATCAGCTTTTATCCTCCTGGGAGGGACAAGCAAGGCTGGTTCTCCTCTCTCTCCCCACCAGCCGGGGCCAGCTGTGCCACAGCCAGCCTGGGCGGGCAGGAGCTGCCATCAACCCCGTGTGTTTTGCTCCCTGAATCCCCCCAGGGAAGGAGGAGGGCAGCCAGGCTGGGTGGGAGGGGATACTTTGTTCAGGACTAGGGTGAGCTTCCTGGGCCTATGGGAGGAGGGGAGAGTAGACCTGGATGCCTCCATTTCTAATTGCTGAGGGGACTAGGAGTCTGGACTCCTGGAACCGAAGGAGGAGGGTCTTGGGGGCCCAAACTCCAGGGTTCAAAGGCACAGGAGGCTGGCACGGGGACTGGGAGCAGTGAGTTGAGCCCCAGGCTCCATTTCCTGCGCTGGATTCTCACCGTCCTATCAGGATAGGAGGTGGAGCCGGTGACCACACCCTGGGCAGGCTGGGCCCCTCCCTGGGATTGTCACCCCAGGCTGCAACTGGCAGTAGCCACAGTCAGCAGTCAGTCAGCAGCCCTGGGGAGCTCTGAAGAGGCTTGGGAGGGGTGAGTTCACAACCAGCTGACAGACAGGAATGGCCGCTGCCAAACCCCCGGGCCCCGGAAGGGGAAAAGAGACACCTTTTTCTGGAGGATCAGGGAACCATCGACTTGGGAGGCAGGCAAGGTGCTGAGTGGGCTTCAGGAGGGAAACGTCTCTGAAGCAGAGGGCAGCATCCCCACTGAGGGGGGACAAGAACAGCTTGTCCAGGACCTGGGTGACAGGACAGTGGTCTGAAAGGGAAGATTAACCAGGGACCCTGAAGTGTGGGGAGTCAGGCCAAGTCCAGGGCAGGTTTTTGCGGGGCCAGGGCTACAGGCCCAGTCTCCAGGGCCCTGGGACGGAGACCAGCAAAAGTAACAGCTCTGGACCCAGAGATCTGGGTCTGATTTCTGCTCTGCCGCTTTTCAATGCAACTGTCAACGCCTTACTTAACACCTCTGAGCCTGCGTTTCCGCTCCTGTAAAATGGGAATGCTCCGAATAACAGCTGCAACAGGAACCAAGGCAGTCTGGACCTCAGAGGGTTAGTGAGAACCTAAAGGAGAAAATTGAGAAAGCTCTTAGCACTGGGTACGGCGCAGTGAGTTCAAGGTTAACAACAGGGATGAATACCACCGCAGGCAGGGAGCAAGGCCGACCCATGCAAAGCTAAGCTAAGTGGACAGGCCTGAAGGCCAGGGACCCAGCTGGGGGAGGAGTGGGACCAAGGTTGGGAAGAGAGAGGGGGTTAGAGGGGATTCCACAGCCAGACTGGAGGGACCAGGAGGGGGCAGGAGGGACCCCTTGGTTGCAGGAAAGGCTAGAATTATGAACTCCTGGGTTCAGGAAAAGAATTAGGCTTAGGACCAGGATCTTGGGATACCACCAGGTGGATGGGAATCGGTGGACTGAGGGCAGAAGTCTCCCAAATACTGCAGAGGGCAAGGGACTGTAAGTGAAGCTTGGGGCCTGAGAAGGAGGTAAGATGGGGGCTGAAACTCCTGGTCTTGAGAGAGGGGACCAACTAGAGGGCCAGGCTGCTCAGAACCTGGAAGGAGTCCCAGGCTCCGGGAGAGAAAATGGAGACAGATGCCTGAACATGGGCCCCAAGAAAGGAGAAAGAAAGTTACGTACACTCCTGGGCTGTAGGACAGATGCTGGAGCTAAGGAGTCAGTCAGCATCCCAAGGAAGAGGGAACAGGGACCTGCAGCCTGAAGAAGAGGGTGCGGGGGCCTGGACTCCTGGGTCTCGGGAAGGTAGGGGCTGAGGGATCAAACTCAGTTCCTGAGGAGGGAGAAAGGGTCTGGGTACTGGACTCATGGGTCCCAAGGAAGCAAGGAACTGGAGCCCTGGACTCCATCCTCCCATCTGAAGGAGCAGACTGTAGTCTGACGTGAGTCAGGGGGAGGAGGGGGTACAGCCTGGACTCTGGGACACCGGGGCCCAGTGGAGCCAGGGGTGACCCAGCCCTACCTTAATGTGCCTCCCAACCTGCCCACAGCCTCACGGCTCTTGCAGAGGATGGACCTGCGCACCATGACACAGTCTCTGGTGACCCTGGCTGAGGACAACATGGCCTTCTTCTCCAGCCAGGGCCCCGGGGAGACCGCCCGGCGGCTGACGGGCGTCTTTGCGGGCATTCGGGAGCAGGCCCTGGGGCTGGAGCCGACCCTGAGCCGCCTGCTGAGCGTGGCACACCTCTTTGACCTGGACACAGAGACGCCAGCCAACGGGTACCGAAGCCTGGTGCATACGGCTCGCTGCTGCCTGGCGCACCTGCTGCACAAATCGCGCTACGTGGCCTCCAATCGCCGCAGCATCTTCTTTCGCACCGGCCACAACCTGGCCGAACTCGAGGCCTACCTGGCCGCCATCACCCAGCTCCGCGCTCTGGCTTACTATGCCCAGCGCCTGCTGACCACCAACCAGCCCGGGAGGCTCTTCTTTGAGGGTGACGAGAGGGTCATTGCCGACTTCCTACGAGAGTACATCACGCTGCACAAAGGCTGCTTCTACGGCCGCTGCCTGGGTTTCCAGGTGAGCCCCCCAACCCCCGCCTGCCCCCCGGGGCCCATGGCAAAGGCACATGGTGGGCCCAACCAGGCTCAGTCGCATATGCGTGCGCAGTCACTCAGTCGTGTCCGACTCTTTTGTGACCCCATGGGCTGTAGCCCGCCAGGCTTCTCTGTCTGTGGGATTTCCCCAGGCAAGAATACTGGAGTGGGTTGCTACTCCCTTCTCCAGGGGACCTTCCAGACTCAGGGATTGAACCCACGTCGCCTGCATTGATAGGCACATTCTTTACCACTAGGCCACCAGGAAAGCCCTAGTAGCATACAGAGGAAGCACAGCGGTGTGGTGTGGTGCTTGGCTGAGCAAACAGCAGATGCAGGAAGGGGAAGCTGGTAGGGGCTCATACTGCACAGAGCGAGGGTCTCATACTTGTGGCCCCTTTACTGACTCCACTGTGGAGGAAGGAATCTTCAACTGGACATAGCTTTCCTACATCAGGATCCCCACTGCTCCCCATCAGCCTGCACTCAGGAGCTTCATTTACTTTCTTACGTGACCTGTCTGGCCCCTGAATTTATTTGAGAGCCCCTAGGATCGTAGCCAGTGTTGTTCGTAAGAGCATCAAGGCCTGTTTGTAACAGCCCCACTTAGTCATCCCCACCAGAGGCTTGGCAGGCAGGGAGGACAGGTGCCGGCCCCGTTTTACAGGGGCTCGGGGGGGGGGCCCCCAGCTGCTCAGTTGGACCCAGATCAACCGGGACATATCGACTCCCCTAAGGCACAGTAGAATCTGGATTTTCAGGCTGCAGAGAGAACCATCAAGCATATCCACGTTGATGACCACAAGGAAGACCTGGTCATGGCCCCTCTCCTCCCTGAACCAGGGAGGTTCTTTCTGAACCCCAGCTGCAGGCCTTCTCCTATCCTCTGCCCCCACCCTGAAATTACCATCACAGGAACACAGCTCATTTCAGCACTGGGAGGGAGGCAGCCCCAAGGCCTTCAGACTCCCAGGAAGAGTAGTCTGGGGACTCAGAGAATTAGGAAGTCTGTAGGGCACCAAGCTCAGAGCTGAGGCACAGTCTGCCCCCGTCCGGGGTCTGTGCTGGGCCAACCCGTCCGTACCCACACCTGGGAACCCCAGCAGGAGTATCTGGAGCCATGTGAGCCCCTCTCTGGGCTTCCCCCAGGTAGTGGGGTGTGGAAACTGTCCCGGCCTCCATCCCATCTCTGCTTCCACGTGGGGCAGCCTGTCCTCACCAGCCCAGCCCAGGTGTTCCTGGGAACTTCCCCTCATCTAAACTCAACCCCCAAAAATTGATCAGCCCAGCTGGGCCAGCCGGCTCCTCCCTGGGTCCCGGCCATGCCCGCAAAGCTTGGGAGTAAGAGCCTGGGGACCCCAAAGCTGCATTCCAGTCCCGAAGGTCAGGCACCACTGTGCTCTCTGGCCCGCTGGGCCCCTGACCAGGAGCCATGCCTGACAGCTACTCTCTCCTGGCCCAGCTAGGCCACATTGCAGGACAGCCTCCCCGTGTAAAATGTCAGCCCCTGGGGGCAGACGTTCCTGATTTCCAGGTCTCGCTCAGCCTCGGCTCCAGCCCAGTGCCTGGCACGCCGGAGGACCCGGGCTAGGACTTGCTGAATGAACAGAAGAACCGTGCTGGCCCCTTGCCCAGCCTCCTGTGGCTTGGATTTTTTCCGCCCCCGATCTGGTGTCTCTATTGTCTTTTCTCAGTCGCCTGGCTCCTCTCTCAGATGCTGGGTCTCTGCCTCCCTGTTTGACTCTCTCTGCCTCGGGATCCCTGAGCTCTCCTGTTTATCTCTCCCCACTGCCCCGTGGTCCCCACGGCCTGTATCCCCCCATCTCGGTCCTTGCTGAGTTTCAGGGTCCCCCGCACCATCCTTCTCCCAGCTCACAACCCTCTGTGGCTCCATCACATCTAGAACAAACCCAAGTCCTCAGGCCCCACATGAGCCCCCCGCTGCCCCTTGGATCTCACCCCACCCCCGCCCCCTCTCCTGGCCTCTCTGTTCCCCCACACTCATCATCCACGCCAAGCGAGGACGCCCCTCAAGGCCTCTGCCTGTGTCCTGTTCTCCTCGGGGCCCAGTCACCCCTCCTTGAGTCCCTCGGGGAGACCCATAAACAGAGTCGGACCCTTCATCAACACTCTGTCCCTCCACCGACTGTCCTTTCAGACACTGGTCATTCCTTGACATTGTACAGCATGTCTTCATTTGAGTATTGTCTGTCTTTTCAACAACATTAGCTCCGTGAGGTGCCTAGCACAGTGCCTAACACATAGTCAGAGCTCACTGGACACTTGCTGAGTGACCGCCTCTACCCACCTTGTCCCCCCCGACTCCCCTGCCCGCCCCTGCTCCCTGACTCGGAGGCCTCTCCCCACAGTTCACGCCCGCCATCCGGCCATTCCTGCAGACCATCTCCATCGGACTGGTGTCCTTCGGGGAGCACTACAAACGCAACGAGACCGGCATCAGTGAGTCCCTGCAGGGCCCTGCCCACAGTCGCCCCCACCCTTCCTGTCCCTCCCCCACACCAGGGCCCCAGCAAGGCCACCAGGGGCTCCCTGACACCCCTCCCAACCTCCAGGTGTGACCGCCAGCTCCCTCTTCACTGGCGGCCGCTTTGCCATCGACCCCGAGCTGCGTGGGGCCGAGTTTGAGCGGATCATTCAGAACCTGGATGTGCACTTCTGGAAAGCCTTCTGGAATATCACCGAGATCCAGGTGCTATCGGTGAGCCTGGGGACCAGCGATGGGGGCATGATGGGACCCAGAGACACGTCCCAGGCCCAGGGAGGGCACAGGAGGGAAGAGACGGACGGGGAGGTCAGAGGGGAGGTGTGAGAGGGAACCCTGCAGCTCCTCCTGTTACCCCCAACCCAGTCTCTAGCAAACATGGCCTCGACCACCGTGAGGGTAAGCCGCCTGCTCAGCCTGCCGCCCATCGCCTTTGAAATGCCTCTGACCTCGGACCCCGAGCTCACGGTCACCATCTCACCCCCGCTGGCCCACACAGGCCCCGGGCCCGTCTTCGTGAGGCTCATCTCCTATGACCTGCGGGAAGGACAGGTAGGGCCCCAGCTCTGCCAGAACAGGCACAGAGCTAGGAGCACGGTGGGAGCGCCTTCCCCACCTCCCGCCTCACAGCTCACACCTGCCCCCTCTCCCATCTCTCGGAGCACGTCCTCTCAGAGGAGTGAGGCCCAGGCAGGCCACCTCCGCCCCGTGACCCACCACCTCCTTCTTCCTCTCCCCTAGGACAGCAAGGAGCTCAGCGGCTTCATCAGGTCCGAGGGCCCCAGGAGCCTGGAGCTGCGGCTGCGCCCCCAGCAGGCACCCCGCTCCAGGGCCCTGGTGGTGCACATCCACGGCGGCGGCTTCGTGGCCCAGACCTCCAAGTCCCACGAGCCTTACCTCAAGAGCTGGGCCCAGGAGCTGGGCGCCCCCATCCTCTCCATCGACTACTCCCTGGCCCCCGAGGCCCCCTTCCCCCGGGCACTCGAAGAGTGCTTCTACGCCTACTGCTGGGCCGTCAAGCACTGTGCCCTCCTGGGTGAGCCCCCTTCCCAGCCTGCCTCAGCCCCCACCCGGCACAGCAGGGGCAAAGAGCCACGAGGCGCTGGAGCCTCAGTCTTGACACCCTGCCTCCCCGTCCACCTCCCACCACCCAGCCTCTGCCACCTGCCCGTTGTGTCCCCCGCCCCCTCCTCCAGCTCTGCCTCCGTTGCCCCCCGGGCTCCCACCCTCCACTCAACCATTTCCTCTTCCTGCTTCCCCCGACTCTAGCCCTAATGCTCCATCCCCCACTGCCCCCTGACCTCTGACCTTTCCTTCCCCCCTGTTTCTCTACCCACTGCTGTCCCTTGCTGGCAGCCACCCGGCCGGGCTCCAGCCCATTCTTCCAGCTCCTCCGCCCTCCTGCTCCCCACACGGCCTGGGAGGCACAGAGCAGGATGAGGTCATGCCGCAGGGCACAGGGCTGCCATCTTCTGGCCTTGCTGCCCCTCCCTCCTGACATGGGCGCTGGGTCTCCCCTCTCTCAGCACCCTTCCTCCTTGCTCCTGACCCCCAGACCCCCAAGCTTCCCCACAGCTTCCTGATCTCCAGACCTCTCCGTGTCCTCAGCCTGCCTGATCCTCTGCCCACTATCCCCCAAATGGGTCCAGATCCCTGCCTTAGTTTCCCAGTCTTTAAAATGGCAGTGGGCCAGACCCCCACACCCGACCTCCAAGAGCCTAGAGCTCCAGCTCCTCCCTGCCAGGCTTGACCAAGCCCCCTCCACACCAGGCTCAACAGGTGAGCGGATATGCCTCGCCGGAGACAGCGCCGGTGGGAACCTCTGCTTCACCGTGTCCCTTCGGGCAGCAGCCTACGGGGTGCGGGTGCCAGATGGCATCATGGCAGCCTACCCGGCCACCATGCTGCAGTCCACCGCCTCTCCTTCCCGCCTGCTGAGCCTCATGGACCCCCTGCTGCCTCTCAGCGTGCTTTCCAAGTGCGTCAGCGCCTATGCCGGTTAGTCCCATGCGCACACAACTGGGGCCCTGGCTCCTTCGGGGGCAGAGACTAGAGCCCTGTCTCGTTGGGTACAAAGAGGAGGAATCTGAGACTCCCTGTTCCTGCTGGAGCGGTCAGACAGTCTGGGTCCCTGAGGGCAGAGATGCCTGAGGGTGTGTGTTTTGAGACTGGGCCCAGAAAGAGAGGAGACCTACTCACCTCCCACACACACACATCCACTCACAGGTGAGAAGACTGAGGACCACCCCGACTCAAACCAGAAGGCGCTGGGCATGATGGGGCTCATGCAGCGGGACACGGCCCTGCTCTTCCGAGACCTCCGCCTGGGAGCCTCCTCGTGGCTCAACGCCTTCTTGGAGCTGGGCGGGCAAAAGTCCCACCTGAAATCGGTGTCCAAGACCGGTGAGTGGCGCCCTTCCCTCACACACCCATCCAGCATGGCCAGGAGAGACAGACTGGCACCAGAAGTCCTGGGGGAGGCAAGGGGCTGGGCCCTGGGCACTCAGGGAAGCGGAGATCACCTTCCTGGCTCCCTGCCATAAAGCCTTAGTCCACATTCTAGAAATTCCAGAACTTCTGGTCACACGGGTCAGCTCAGAATCCCAGGAACTATAAGATTTAGCTTTCCAAATACCCGCTCCCAGAAAGGCACCCTAAGGAATGACTCAGAAGGCCAGCTGTGTGTCCTGATTTTCAGTCCCAAGAATCCAGTCCACCGAAATTCCCTGGGCCCTCAGGTGGAAGTTCAGCCCTCCTAGATTCTTTCCTGACTTTTAACAAAGGCACGCAGGGAGATCAGAAAGTGGCAGAGACATCAGTAAGTGGAGGAAATCCCCATCCTGGGTAGGTGGGAAGACCCTCAGGCTGCCAAAAATCACTTCCATCCAGGGATCCATTGTTTCCCATTTCCTAACATTTTAAGGATTTTTAAAGCACAGCCACCTCAAATTACTTTCTATCTCTAATAAATCAACAGTATTTTCTGGGTAATAGAAATTGCATTTTCAAAAGTAGATACCATTCCCAGGGACTTCCTTGGCAGTCCAGTGGTTAGGACTCAGCGCTTTCACGGCCGAGAACACAGGTTCAATCCCTGGTCAGGGAACTAGGATCCCACAAGCCATGGGCCAAGAGAAAAAGGAGATACAGTTCCTGTTATTCAGAAAATTATTCCAATTGAATATGCTTTATTTTCAGCTCAATTTTTAATATTAGGATATTCCAACCAACACAAATAAATACACCCAAAAACAGGTGGCACAGCTGCTAAAGAATCTGCCTGCATATGCAGGAGACTCAAGAAACTGTTTCAATCCCTGAGTGGGGAAATCCCCTGCAGAAGGAAATGGCAACCCATTCCAGTATTCTTGTCTGGGAATGCCATGGACAGAGGAGCCTGATGGGCCACAATCCATGGGGTGGCAAAAGTAGGACTCAACTAAGCACATACATTCAAAAGCAATTAAAAAGGATTTGAATTTTAGACACATGGACCATTTGGCACTGGGGCTTTCCTTGTAGGAGAAAGGTGACAAGAGCAGACCCTAGAGGCACACACGCCAGTCGAGCTCCCTACAGTACCAGGTACTATACCAGGCAAGTTGCAGTATCTGTGAGCCTAGCTTTGCCCCTCTGGGGGAAACGGGAGCAGTAAGAATACCTACCTCATTCTGTTGCTGTAAGGACTGCCTACCTATTTGTGTCAAGCACAATAGGTGCACAGTAGGTGCTGTTTTGTGCCTTGTACCTAAAACACAGTAGGTGCGCTTAGAAGATGCCAGCACCCTGATTGGCTGTGTCTGTGACTCTAGTCAACAGCTTGGTTCCATTGGCCCTCTGGGCCACAGGGCACCTAAGCAGTTATTTTTGTATCATCCTGCATTTTGCCTTCATGGATTTATAAAGGCAAGTGAAAGAAAAAAAAGAAAAACTAAAAAAAAAAGAAAATCTGAAAAATGTAAGGTCCTGGCAGTAGTGGTAAGCAGAATGGTCCTGATCAAATCAGGGGAGCTGAGGCCACAGTGGGCCCACCAGGCAGGCCTGAAGTGCACCTTTAGCATCAGTTGGGCACTAGCTTGTCTGGTCATTCAAAGGGGAGGGATGGGGACTTCCCTGGTGGTCCAGTGGCTAAGACTCCATGCTCCCAGTGCAGGGGGCCTGAGTTCGATCCTTGGTCAGGGAACTAAGATCCCACGTGCTTCATAGCTCAGCCAAAAAACAAAACAAAGGGACAGAATAAGGTAAAGAACAGGAAGGAATTTCGGGGAGCAGATTTACATAGCTAAAGCTGTGGGTGTCTCTGGAAGTCTTGATATGTCCTCAAGTTCTTTTTAACACCCTGTGAACAGAGCCTCCTTTCAAGCCATGTGGGCCTGCTCACCATTCCACTTTGATCCATTCATACTCTCTGTCTCAGGTGACTAGGAAAAGCTGACAGCCCCATGTTGGGGGCTAAGGAGGCAGCTACAACAAGGTAATAAAACATTACAAGGTGTTTGGCAGAAACCAACACAATTCTGTAGAGCAATTATCCTTCAATTAAAAATAAGTTAAGAATTTAAAAAAATAATATATAGATATATATAATGACCTCCCAGGGATGTGTTCTGTGCTCAATTGCTCAGACATGTCTGACTCTCTGTGGCCTCATGGACCACAGCCCTCCAGGCTCCTGTGTCCATGGAATTTTCCATGCAAGAATACTGGAGTGGGCTGCCATTTCCTACTCCAGGAGGTAGTCCCAACCCAGGGATGGACACCACGCCTCCTGCATTGACAGGCGGATTCTTTACTAGCACCACCTGGGAAGCCTCCCCAGGGGTAGCAGTACCTAATCCCAAATCTTATCAATCCCACTGAGTTCGCACCGCCTCCTATGAGGTAAGGACTATTTTTATCCCCTTTGTTCAGAAGAGGAAACAGGCTCCCAGAGGTAAACTGACTGGCATTTCATGTTCCCAGTCACACACACACCCCTCCATTAGGACACAGCCTCACCTCCAAGACAGGGGCCTCCTTCCACCGCCCCCTTGGAACTGCAGCCTGGGGCACCCTGTAGTCTGGGCCTCTACATTCCTAGGGAGCAGTTCCCCCACCGGCCTCTGCTCCTGAGGTGGACTTCCCTGCCAGCCACCCACACACCCGACCCACAGAGCCAGGCTCAGCTGCAGGCCTGGCCGGTCCCCTCACCTTGCTCCTCTCGCAGAGCCAATGCGGCGCAGTGTGTCTGAAGCAGCCCTGACCCAGCCGGAGGGCCCACTGGGAACGGACTCCCTCAAGGGCCTGAAGCTGCATGACCTGAGCCTCAGGAACAGCTGCGAGACACCAGACACCCCGGAGCTGTCACTGTCGGCGGAGACACTCCGCACCTCCACACCCTCAACCGTCAACTTCTTACTTGGGTCTGAGGATAGATCTGAAGTGTCTGAGGCCCCAGAGGAGCTGAGCAACAAGGACCGAGTTCGAGGTGTGGGCGCGGCCTTCCCCGAGGGCTTCCACCCACGGCGCTGCAGCCAGGGTGCCATGTGGATGCCCCTCTACTCGGCCCCCATCGTCAAGAATCCCTTCATGTCACCTCTGCTGGCACCCGACAGCATGCTGCAGACCCTGCCACCTGTGCACATCGTGGTGAGCGCCAGGCCAGGAAGGTGGAGCAGGCGAGGAGGGGGACGGGTGGGGGCCTGGAGCGCCTGGGGAAAGGAGCTCCCGGGGAGCCGAGTGGGGGGAAAGGGAGAAAGCGCGGCCGCAGGGAGGGGGTGCCAGCAGGAGGGGAGGCCTGGCAACGAGTGGATTGAGGGGGTCAGAGTTGCCAGTTTGCTTTTGCAATCCTGTTGAGATCGCGGGGCAGGCGCTGGGCTTGGAGAGTCGGGGAAGGGGCAAAGAGAGAGTGGGTCTCTGGGGGCAGGGGAAGCCAGGCAGAGGCCTGTCAGACTCATTCTCCCATTCTCCGCCCCCATCCCTGTGTCTCCTGCCTCTGTCCTCCGCCTCTGCGCATTTCCCTGCCCCGCCCCCGCAGGCCTGCGCGCTGGACCCCATGCTGGACGACTCGGTCATGTTCGCGCGGCGGCTCCGCGGCCTGGGCCAGCCCGTGACGCTGCGCGTGGTGGAGGACCTGCCGCACGGCTTCCTGAGCCTGGCGGCGCTGTGCCAGGAGACGCGGCAGGCCGCTGCGCTGTGCGTGGAGCGCATCCGCCTCGTCCTCAATCTGCCAGGCCCGCCGGTCTGAGCCGGGCACGGAGCCAGGCCCCGCGGGGAGAAGGGGGTCGCGGGGGGGGGCGACACTAAAGGCCGCTTGTACCCATCTGCGCAGGGCTCCGTGGTGAACGCGCCTCGGGAAGGGCAGCGGGGACCCCGGCCCCGGGGCTCCCCGGCCATCCAGGCCCTCTCTCGGGCTGGGTGGAAGGGGGCGGGCTGTGCCTTAAGTGGGGGGAACGGCATGGGGGGAGTTGGGCGGGGGGGCCCCTCCCCAAAGCTAAGACCCTGGCCTGGGGGAGGAGGGCGCACACAAACCAGTCTCAGAGACAGCCGGACTTGCACGGGATCACTGCCTTCTATTGCTGCTGTGACCGCTGCAGGGGCGGGCCTGACCCGACCTTGCAGATCGATTTGCTTTGTTTGTGTTTTGTAAATAAAAGTATTTAATTAGTTTGGCCTCTGGCAAATAGACAGGCTTCCCTGGTGGCTCAGTGGTAAAGAATCCTGCCAATGCAAGAGACTTAAGGGACTCGGGTTCGACCCCTGGTTTGGGAAGATCCCCTGGAGAAGGAAACGGCAACCCACTCCAGTATTCTTGCCTGGAGAATCCCATAGACAGAGGAGCCTGGCGGGCTGCAGCCCATAGCGTCGCAAAGGAGTCAGGACCTAGCAATTAAACAATAGGCAAATAGAGTGGGGACGGGGGTTGCCCACCAGGGGGCAGCATAAGAAGCCCGAGAACTTGCACTGGCGAGCCGACAGAAGGCTGGGAGCCCAACACCTGGGTCCTGAGAAAGAAGGGGTGTGCAGGCCTGGATTCTTGAGTATGGAAGGGCAGGAGCCCCCCTACTAACACAGACCCACCCCCTCCTCAGACCTAATCCAGGTACAGTGCCAGAAGCAGGCATCTCAGCTACTCCTTTTTACAAACCTAGCCCCAGCACCAACCGGGAAAAGAAAACCCGAAGTCCCTAGAGAACTGGAGCAAAGCTAACAGGAAATCAGAAACAAACTGATCACTCAAAAATTGGGACCCAAGCTCTGCCCAGCTGACAGCCACTCAAGCCCTCACCCTCAGTAGGCCCTGGGTTTGGAGCAGATTTCCTTCCAGGGCTAGCCTTCAGATTTCCACACTCAGAGAGTGTGGGGAGAGACCCAGACACAGGCTGTCACAGTCCCCACCGGTTCTATCTGTGGTAGCCAGGGAGTCCTTTACAGAGGAGGAGATCCAAGAAAGAGCAAAAAAGAAGAAATAGGCAAGGTTGAGAGAGTCAGTGGTCAAGGCTTCTGCCTGACCAGAAGTTCAGATGCAAAGTGGGGAGTGGTCTGAGGGGCCTAGACTGGTCAGCAAGAGATCCTGAAGGAGCTGGAATGCAATTTGGACTATAAATGAAGGGCAGCGGGAGCCATAGAAGGGCTTTGAGCAAGGGAGGGACAGGATCAGCTCAGGCACTGAAAGAGTCTACTGGGAAACGGGGGTGGACTGAAGGCAAGACTAGAGCCCTGGAGGCAAGAGAGGAGGCTGGGGACAGGGATGACAAGCCCTGAGCTGGGGCAGAAACAATGAAGGTGGGGAGCAGAAGTCCGGGTGGAGCAGCTCCCAGAGCCATTACTGAGGTTGGATAAAGAGGACTTATTGAGGGTGGAGCAGAGGTTACAGGTGAGCAAGGGGATGAAGAGGACATCATCCTGGACAGGGGAGCAGGTGGACAGTGAGACTTTTCTGCTGGGAGGAGGTTCAGGGGTGTGTGAGATAGGTGAGGTAGTGAGGGTGGTTTTGCACACAGATCAAAAGGTCTTCATCAACAGAGACAGACTCACAGACATACAGAATAGACTTGGGGTTGCCAATCGAGAGGAGTTTGGGGGAGGAATGGGGTGGGTGGTTGGGGTCAGCAGATGTAAGCTATTATATATGGAATGGATAAACAACAAGGTCTTCCTGTACAGCAGGGGTCCCCAACCTCTGGGAGCTAATGCCTGATGATCTGAGGTGAAGCTGATGTAACAGTAAGTGAAATAAAGTGCACAATAAATGTAATGGGCTTGACTCATCCTGAAATCATCCCCTGTCCCCCATTCTGTGGAAAAAGTGTCTCCCATGAAACCAATCTCTGGTGCCAAAAATGTTGGGGACTGCTACTGTATAACAGAGAGCTATATTCAGTATGCTATGATAAACCAAAACGGAAAATAATATATATATATGTAACTGAATCAGTTTGCTCTACAGCAGAAATTAACACAACATTGTAAATCAACTATTCATCAATTAAAAAAGCCTTCATGAGACAATCCAAGAGGCGGGAGGAGTCAGGAGAGGGAGGCTCCCTCCCCTGGAAATCCTTTCCTGGCCCACTAAACTCAAAAAGGACTCTCTTGGACTCCCCTGACTGCACACCCCTGCACGTCAATATATGGGTCTGTCCTCCCGTCTGACCTGGGCTCCTTAAGGGCAGGGCCCAGGCCTGACTCATCTTGATCATCACCACTGCCCAGCAGGAGGCTTAGCACACTGGAAGCCTCAGGAAACCTAAGTACTGGGTGGGTGAGTGTGTGAATGAGCGAGTGCGAGTGAGTCGCCATATGAGGAAATCAGTGAATGAGGTACCTAATGAGGGCAGGAAGGACTAAACGCACGGGTGAGTTTAGTAGCTGGTGAAGGGAAGGGATGGAGGAATTTCTGAGATTGTGCATCCAGCTCCCCGCTCCGCCTCCAGCCTCAACGAAATCTCACCGTTTCCCGTCCGAGCTGTGTCCAGAATCCCAATACTGGGTGTGCTGTGAAGGGCTTACCAGGCCAGACTCGCAGAACCTGTCCGTTCAAGAGCCTCTCCGGCGTCTACGAAGCAGACCCCCCCCACACACACACCAACCGGCAAAGACCTAGACTTTTGGCTGCCTGGCTGGATCTGCCGATACCGCTCTATCTCGATCCTCCTCGGGCTGTGGACCCCGCCTACTAGGGAATGCGCCCTGTCCTGAGTGGCCCAGGGAGTTAGGAGCGGAGTGTCTATTGGCTGGAAACTGGTGACTGACGTCACGGATAGCTTATCACAGCTCGATTTCGGAGGCGGGCTCCGGTGTCAGACACGGCTCTAAAAAAGACAGGCTAGGGAGCTTCCTGAGCGCGTGCGCGACTGCAGAAGGATCTTGAGTGAGGTATTGGGCTGCAGGTAGAGCTGGGCCGCTCGACCGCCTGATCCTGTCTTGAGAGAGGATGAGAGTCCGAACTTCTTGGTCCTGAGAAGGACAAACTGAGGGGCCTAGACTTCTGAGTCTGAGGGAGGAAGAGGCTGAGCGTCCGGATTTCTGGATCTTGAGGAAGAGGGGAACTGGGACCCTGAAGAATCGTGCTCCAGATTCGTGGACTTCTGGATTCCAAGGGTCACTGGCCTGCCCAAGGATCACAGATTTGGGGTTCAGGGGTTTTTGTGGCTACGTATTGTATTGGAGCCAGAGTTCTGAGTTCCTGAGGTGGGGCTTAGACTAAAGATGAATACGAAAAAGGCTTAGGTGAAGCTTTGGCCTCGATACTGCCCTTTACTTCATCCCTGAAAGGGAAGCCAGGGGCAGCTGCTGTGTGCAGAAAAAATCCAGAACAGGAGAAGACTTGAGACTCATGTGGAATCCAAGAAAAAAACATAGATAGCAACTGAGAGATTAAAATACTGAAAATAACCACAATAGAGTTCACTTGTATGGAATTTACTGTGGCCCAGGTTCTGTGCTAAGCATTTTACATAATTATCTCATGTCTTCCTCTTAAGAGCTCTAAGCGATCGGATTATTATTATTCCCACTTGACAGGTGAGAAAATTGAGGCCCAGCGAGAGAGAATCAAGATCCAGATGTAAAGCGACAGGAGAGACACAAAGCACAGATGGAGACAGATAATGACGACAGGCCCCGAGAGAGGGAAGGGTAAACAGGGGATAAAGAAGACAAACAGATAATGACAGGCCCAGAGAGCGAGGGAAAGGTACACAGTGAAAAAAGAAGAGAGACAGAGCTGGGACTCCCAGGGGGTGGGGGTGGGGGTTTGGGGCCTGGGACTCCTGGTGTCTGGAGGAGGAAAGATGAGGGATGGGGACTTCCAGGTATTTCCTCCTTAACTCACAGATACCAGGCCTCTCACTATGGGTGTTGGGCCTGATTGGGGTTGAAAATATGGATTAGGACGGTATGGGTGTGTCGTGTGTCATTATCCTATTAGGAGATGACAAAAATGATTCCTGGGATGTCCCTGGTCTGGGAGAATCCTCCCCCTCCCCTGGCCCCCTGGCCCCCCAGCCTGTGTTCTTTGATCTGCCCAGATCAGCCTCAGGGAGGATTGGAGAAGGGAAGGTCCCTCTCTGTCCTTCCCCATCGCTGGATCCCCATCACCCAGAACTGTCACTGAGGCCCACTCTGGACACAGGTGGGGCACCAAAAGCTTTCCTAGTGGGTCTTCATCCCTCTGGGTCTCTCTACTTTCCCCCAAGCCTTGAACCAATGCCTGCCAGAGGTCCTGGCACATTGCAAGGGCTCACCAAATGCTTATGGAATGGGTGGACAAACATCCACATCTCTTTGTGCAGCTCTTCCTGTTCCCCATCCGCCATCTCTCCCTGCTTTCCCATCATGTTCTTTCTCATCCCCGCCCAGGCCTTACCTGTCTCCTCTCATCTTCCCTTTCACCCTGGTGTTTCTCCTAAAGCCGCTGGGCCCACCATTCCCATTAGGGAGAAACTATAGCCAGCTGCATTGGCAGACGGATTCTTCACCCTGAGCCATGGGTTTGATCCCTGGCCCAAGAAGATCCCACATGTGGCGGGGCAGCTGAACCTGGGCACTACAACTACTGAAGTCCAAGAGCCCTAGAGCCTGTGCTCTACAACAAGAGAAGCCCACGCACCATCACTAGAGAGTAGCCCCCACTCTCTGCAACTAGAGAAAAGCGCTCATAACAACGAAGGCTCAGAACCGCCAAAAGTAAATTTTAAAATAAATACAAATTTTTTTAATATGATGGAGAAAGGAGTTCTCAAGACCCCAAATACAGGCACACCCCTGGCACCTCAGAGTCAGGAATGCAAGATCAGAACAAACATGTGTCCTCCAACATCTGCTTGGTGTGATCTTGCATTTATACCCACAGAAGCAGAGAACCCACACACAGCACGTGAAGTTACCTACAAACACACAGAGGTACACAATTGTGAAATCACTTGCACTGACACCACACAGAAATATCCCATTCCACATGCAAAAGAGACACCCCAGTTATGTGGTTATATGCCCAGCCACAGACAGGCCATTTATCCAATCCCTATTAGAACCATGAGCAAACACTTGGTTTTATTCACTATTGCATCACCAGCAACTAGAACATCATCCCCACTATCCTCATAAACACAGAATGTTTCCTATGGGCCAGGTGCAGTTTCTTTACATGAATTAACTCATTTAATCCTCTCAGCAACTCTTTTGGCAAAAACCCATTTTGTATATGGGAAAACTGAGGTCCAGGGAAGTTGAGTGGTTTGCCCAAGGTTTCACAGCCATTCAGAGGCCATCAAGATTTGAACTAAGGTTTTCTGGCTATAGAGTCCAGAATACAAAGCTACCACTCAAAAACTAATTCCTTGGCTTCCCTGGTGGTTCAGTGGTAAAGAATCCACCTGCCATTGCAGGGGACATGAGTTCAATTCCTGATCCAGGAAGACCCCACATGCCATAGAGCAACTAAGCCCATGCGCCAAAACTACTGAAACCCACATGCCCTAGAGCCTGTGCTCTGCAACGAGAAGCCACAAAAACAAGCAGTCCACACCCCACAGCTAGAGATTAGCTCCTGCTCGCCACAACTAGAGAAAAGACCATGCAGCACTGGGACGGAGCACGGCCAAAAATAAATAAATAAAATGTTAAAAAATAATAATTCCTGCCTTAACCTAGTCAGAATTACAGAAATTGACAACTGAGACCACATCCAAACACAGGTGTACAGGAGGGAGAATGACAGGAGGGCAATCCAGACACGTAAATAGAAAAGACCTTCTCACGTGTCACACCCCAGGACACAGGGACACTCACAGAGAGACACATCGTGACAATCCCCACACAGAAGCAGCAGCACCCAGAGAGGCACACACACCACACAGCAGAGATACAACACACCCAAACCCAGACTCTGACGCACCCAGAGCACCCTGAGTCCGTCCTGTTCTGCGCCCAGCCCCGCTGGGCTGGCCCTCGAGGAAGCAGCAGGCTCAGGATGGGATGGGGGCCACCTCACTTGTCTGCTCAGCCGGACTGGTTCCACCAGGGTCATGGATGGCACCACCCTCCTTGTGAAACCCACATTGGGCAACTGGACTCTGACCTGGCCTGGACACCTGAATTCTGGGGAGAAAGAGGCTAGGAGCCTGGGTTCTGGAGTAGGGACTGGGTTCTAAGGGAGGCAAGGAGGGTGAGTAGGACCTGAACTCTGAGGAGGGATTCCTGTGTTCTGGGGGAAGAGGGGCACAGACACTTGGATCCTCCCACCTGCTTTATTTTAGTTCTGTTTATTGCTACCAATCCATCTCCCTCCTCTCCCCTCATGTGTGCATGCTCAGTTGTGTGACTTCACGGACTACAGCGTGCCAGGCTCTTCTTTTCATGGAATTTTTCAGGCAAGGACACTGGAGAGGATTGCTATTATTTCCTCTTTTATGAATTCCCTTCTTTGAAAGTGAGTTTCCAGATTTACCAAATAAAAATACTGGACACCAAGTTAAATTGGAATTTCAGGTAAACAGCAAATATTCGGTTGGCCTGAAAGTTCAATCGGGTTTTTTCATAAATGGTACAGAAGTTAGTACAGAGATGGTACAGAAAAGCTTGAATGAACTTGTTGGCCAACCCAATACTTTTTTAAGAGTAAGTGTATTCCCTCCAACTTATGGGACACTGCTGCTGTTACTGTTTAGTTGCTAAGTCATGTCTGACTCTCTGCAA